CCCCCCCCCAAAAACGAGAGACGCACATTTTCGCCCGTTCAAGGAAATTGATTGAGCTGCCAAATTGCAGGTGACACACACACGTATGGAGGGAGTCATTAATAATGGTTAGGATGATCATCCTCCGGAGAAAGATGCGAAGAATTCGCTGTGTGGCTGCAGCCGAGGAAAAATCTCGTGGTTAATCATGCATATGGCGAAGGAGAGAAGGATTCCAGGGTAGCTTGAGGAAATTTGTCAAGTCACTGCTCTCTCTCCTCAGCAACAAAGAGCCATTTCCTTCCAATTCTCCTTCGGGGGCGTCCTGGAAGGGAAAAAGCAATTTTCCCCGGTGGCACTGGGATGAGATTCTGGGCCTCCCAAATCCCAGTGTCGCCCACTCGACCAGGATAACTGAGGATGAGGGAAATTTCCAGGCCAAGAGAGAGAGAGAGAGAGATTTCGGCGGTGATAATTGTGTTGAAGTTTTCACTGCCGTTTCGCCAGCAAGACATGGTCAACTGGGATCGAGGGGCAAATCATAAGGCGATTAAATAATCAAAAAATTATTATTTTCCAAAGAAAAATTGCTGAAAGAAATTTAAAAAATCAATTTCTGAAAAAGGAATTCAAAAAAATGATTATTTTCCCTATTATTATACTTAAAAATGAATTGGTTTCAAAGTAAAATTGCAAAGAATTAAAAAAAATCAAATTCTGAATAAAAAATAATAAAAATTATTATTTTCCCAAGTAAAATTGAAAATCAATCAAATTTTAAATTAAATAATCAAAAAATGTTTTTTTTTTCCAAAAAAAATCAAATTCTGAATAAAGAATTTAAAAAAAAATTTCCCAGGTAAGATTACAAAAAAATTTAAATAATCAAATTCGGAATTAAATAATCAAAAAATGATTATTTTTCCAAGTTAAATTAAGAAAAAAATTCAAAAATTTAATAAGAAAATAAAAAAAATCCATATAATTAAAAAAGAATCAGAATATTCCGAATTATTCAATTATATTCAATTTTGGATTGAATATTCTGAAAAAAATTTAAAAATAATCAGAATTTTGTATGAAATAAACAATTTTTAATCAAAAATTTAGAAAAAATTAAAAAATTATCATAAATTTGTATGAAATAATCACAAAGCTAATGGTCTCAGCTTGCGAGTGATTTTCCCCTTGATTGGAATGGTGTGTGAAGTTCCTCTGGCACTTCTGCCCCAACCACTCCTTGAGGGTGTCGACAAAAGAAATGAATAAGAAGGCGCGCACTTGAATAAATTCTATTCTCAATCTAAACTCCGTAATAAATTTAAATTTTTCCATGTGCCATCGGGATGATTTATTCCTTTTTTTCCCTCAAGTCACGAAGACACAAGAAGACCAGGAAAAAAGTTTCCGCAGATTTTTCCCATCCACGCACACACAGTTTCAGTGATATAATCAGGAAATTCATTCACGTAGGATGTGAGAGACAATGGCAGTGCAAGAAGTGGCAGAAGAACATGAAATGAGATTTTGTCGTCAGTGCAAGTCATGTTAAGTGGTTAATTTGGGATTTCGACATCAAAGTGATGTGTTGTGCTTCTGCAGTGGACAAAACAGAGATTACCTGATTTTCCGGCACAGTTGGAAGGAATTCATTGATCTCTCTTCAAACCCAGCGATGAGTTTCTGACCAAATCCGCACTCTTTGAACTCCACTTTGTCTCGAGACATATCCATGAAGAATATATACACGATTCGACTGTGGCTTCTTCTAATCAACAGAAATTTCTATTCTCATCATTGAAAATGATTCAAATTGCTCTCAGGTAAAATTGACCGCAAACTCAATTGGAAAACACAGTTTTCTAAAGGAAGATTGATATTCACTTTGATTTGGAGACCGCATTCAATTTATTAACAGGAAATTGATTGAAGAGAAAGTAATATTATTTTCATTTATAATATGAAATTTCATGGAATTAAATTCACTGAAGTTCGAAGCGTGTTTCTGTGATTTCTGATCTACTGAAACTTTCCAAATTAAATTCTATTTCCCTTTGTTTCAAATCTGTGTGCATTGAAACTACAATTAGAACATGAGAATGTTGAAAAGTGTGTTCAAAGCTGATGAAAATTCAGTTTTAAATTACAATCTGAATCATAATCAGGAGGAAATAATTTCTTGTGTCACATTTTTACATTGCGCAAATCAACAATTCATTGTTGGAATAGAGAGTAATTTTGCCTTGAATTTGGCGATATTAAATTGATAACAATAAAAATCATTTAATAAAGTATACTGAAGAGAGAGGTTTAAGGGGCATTTCATATTCATTTGTATTTTATGTTCCGGCTAAAATATTCCTGTAATAATTCTCACCCATTTTATTCAAAGCCCATCAATTTCAGTCGAGGGACAATTGAACAGCAAATTTGTGGTCACAATGGAGACCCATTAAATATTTTGTGGCTGAGTAAATAAAAACCACCGAAAATCAATGGCAATTGAGGAGTGGAATCGAAGCTCAGCAAGGGCAGTTATTTAACTGGGTTGGACCGAAATGAGACCACGCGCATTAATGGTGGATCATCAATAATGCTGAGGCGAGAGAGACTGCTTAATGGAAAATGGCATAAAGACACTTTTCTTAACGGCTTATTTTGCTGGAAATTTCCTGCTGATGAGTGGATCATTTCACTCCCAAAAATCATGCACAGAATGTGTGTGTGGATTGGACCTTTACGACCCTTTGTGGAGATTTACTGGGACTTTTAACATTGTGGGCGGAGAGAAAGTGAAATTGCTCTCATCGTAAAGTGATGCCTTCGCCTGGAGAAGTCCGAATTCAATAAGACACCATCTTTTTGTCCCTTCCGTCCGTGCACACATTGACCTCGAATTCGATTCCACACAATTCGATTATTTGCTTATTCGAATAGTTTGGCGCCAGTCTGAAAAAGCTCACAAACGAAAGTGGACAAAAGCTCCTCTCCTGTTTTGGATTCGGAGTGCAATTGCTGCAGTCAAGGGGGAGATAATACGGTTAAACAGTTAATAAATAAAAAATTGTGAGGTTATGAATCTTGCCTTAAAATATACTTTCAACCTGGAAATTAGTAAAAAATCGCGAATATCACAATGTTTTCACAGAATTATTAGGTTGATTTTGCCACTTTAGAGCACAAATTGCAAAAATAACTAAACGAAGAGAATTCTCTAAGACATTTTTGAGGTTATGGTTGACTTTTAAGCTGTTTTCTAACCTAATCGAGAGTCTTTTTCGAACGCAAATGCTTAATTTTGCCAAGAAAAAAGAACAATTCTGAGTTTAAACAGAAATTTGATGATTTTGAAGGTTATTTTATCACATAACCTAAAAACAAAGCAATCAAATTCATTTTTGAAGGCAAAATTATTTTTAAAAATGCCTAAATTTGTTGAAACTATAGTTTTTGTAGTGCAAATATTCTTAACCTTAAATATAACCAATGCAAAGCGACATTTTTCTGCAATTTAAATAATATTTTTGAGGTTATGTTTGACTTTTAGGCTTTTTCTCAATCAATATGAAGTTTTTTCACACAAAAATGCTCAAATCTGCCAAGAAAGAGAGAAATTTGATAATTTAATCTATTTTTAATTGTTCACATAACCTCAAAATGCGATAAAAGTGATTTTAATGCGAAATTATTAGGAAAATTCATCAATTTGGTTGAAATGAAAGCTTTTTCAGTGCAAATATTCTATTTATTTTGCCACTTCCACTTCTTAACACTTCCTTTCAAGCTGTACACCACTTCTGACCATATTATCTCCCCCTTGGCTGCAGTCTAAGAGATGTACATTAACAAATACACACACACAGTCCACAGCTGAGTAATTAGACAGGGAAATTGAACATAGCACGAATTGTATTGTGTTCATTGTGCCAAAACAATTGGAATCACTTTGGATAGCATCTCTTTTGCCTCTCTTAGCCAGTGAATGTTCTTTGTGACATGTTCAAGAGTGTGAAGTGCAATTAAACTTCTTTCTGCCGTCGTGCTGAAGATGAAAAAAAAGTGCTGACTTTAATCCAAAGCTTCCCACAAAAGCATTTTATTGCCTTTTTTCTTGGCTATTTTTGAGGAATATTCGCAATTAATGAATTGATTTGAAGCTTGAATTCTGTGAAAATGTGCCCAAATTTTAATTAAAACCATCCAAAAGGCATTTCAAAAGCAATAATTTTGGTATTGAATGGAAATTGAGGCGCTCTTTTTTGAGAAATTCCCGAAATAGAACTTCCTTCCTGCGGTAAACACACGTTCCATATGTATCTGCACTATACATATGTACGAGAGCACACTTCTCGGTAGTGCCTGGAGCGGAATATATTGAGTAGCAGGAGGGTAGATAACAGGTCTTGTTGGACAAATAATTTAATATGTGGTGAGAGGAGTTTGCCTCGCCATACAAGAAAAATATTTGGGGAAACTTTTCCTTTATCTCTCAATTATTTATGTGTGTTTCTTCATGATTGATGATGGGCTCCATGTGAAATGTTTGTCAAGTACTTTCGAGCGGAGGTGCGCGCTCGGGCCACCCGTGAGAGTGTGTCTGAGACATTTGGGGGGTTGTGGGCGGCAAAAGGGGAGAGGCGATGTGTTCGCCGTAGATTGGAAAGTTGTGTATAACATGATTTTAATAGGCACTTGTAGCGAAAGCCCGCCCGTGTGGGGAGAAAGGCGGCCGGGGGAGAAAGCAAACTTTGGATTTTCGAGGGTGGCATTGTTACTTGTCAAATTCTCGTCGTGCTCTTCCTTGGGATTATGGATGAGGACGAGAGGAGGCTGCCAGCGAATGGATCGGATGCACTCACGAGTGCGGTGGACGTGATTGTGCGGGAGGTGATTTCTGATAGCTCACCTGCAGATCCTCTCGCAGCGGCCTTGCTGTGCAGGATTTGCCTGGCAGACGCTTCGAGTCAGAGGTGAGCTTTAACTCCTCCCGAAGACTCTTTCTAATTTGATGCACTTGTCAGGCTCATCTCACCCTGTCACTGCAAAGGAAGCCTGGAGTTCGTTCACATGCAGTGTCTGGAGAAGTGGTTGAATGCGTGTGGCAGCACGATTTGTGAGCTATGTCGTTATCAATACGAAACCACATCGGAACGCAGGTAAGACGTGAATTAATATATTGCGGAGAGAGATATTTGATCATGTTTACCAATTTCGTCAATAGGATTAACCTAGTTTACGTGAGTTTTGGAATACAAATTATGCACACTTTGTAAGTAGAAAAATAAGTGTATAGCATATGTATTTCATACATGAAAGTCATTGCTAAGTAATAAGAACAGAAACAAGTATAAGATTATATAGAATTTATAGTTATCATACTCAATAATTCAGCCCAAAATGTGTCTCTTAATAATCAGAGTGAATAAGTCTTTCCATATACACATCTGTATGCATTATGTAATGCATATATGCGCAAAGAACCGCTCGGAAATATAATTCAATGACGGCTTTACTGAAGTAATCTGAAATTTCCAATCAATATATTTCTATGCTCCAGAAAATCCTGTCCGATGGCATTTCTATGAAATATGACCTATATATTTATATTCATTAATTAATCAGCCTCTCAATATGTCCTGCTGGCCCCCAATTAAACGCCCCAGCATCATATTGTTGGATATGATGAGTGTGTGAAATTAATGGAAATTTGCGAATGTGTGTGTCCCATTCCACAGATTTGGCCTCATGGAATCCCTGAGGATTTGGTATCGACATCCATTGAACCGAAGACTCCTTGGCACAGATATCCTCCTCTGCTTCTTGCTGACAATCATAGGATTTGGCATGACCCTAATTTGTGCTCTTGGCATCCACTACTTCAAGTATAAGACACAAAATCAGGCGGATTTGCCCGAAACCTGGACTCTTGGCTTACTGTGGGTTTTCCTCATTATTGTGGTAATTATTCAGCCCAGGACACACAGTCTTGGCTCAATTTTATCATCTTCTATATGGGCACAAAAGTGTTGGCGAAACGTGAAGAGATTGCCATAAAGTCCCCCTCTTCCCGTCCAGGTCGCCTCGTACATCCTGAACATTTCCCTGGTGGTGAGAAGTCAAGTATATCCCTGGTATCGTTGGTGGCAGAACAATCGCCGAGTGAAATTGCAAATTGTCTGATGGGCTTTTCCACATCAGTGAGTGTCGTGTGAAAGTTCAGTGGGAGGAAAGCGCTCCGAGTTGGAGGAACTTTTTGTGGGTGTGACACATTAAAACAAGCACAATTATTGCCCCCCGCGCCCTTCTGTTATGTTGGCAAAATTGAAGAAGACTCACACAATTGGGCCCCATCAGGAGAAACTTTGAATTACGAGCTGACTGAGAAGAAGGGATGGTGGAATAAAATTTAAGACACTTCTGCGTATGAAGTCGCCCTCTCTCCTCTTCCCACTTCCGCACCATCTCATGAGAATCCCTCAAGAGAAACGACCTGGATGATGGTGAAGTTGAGGAGGGTTTTCCCAGCACAAGACGCCCACTGGTGAGTGTGAAGTTGCTTCTCAAGGTGTGAGATCCTCATGCTGTCTCCCTTCGGCATTTCATGCACAATGCCACAAGCGAGCGACCTTTCTCAATCACTCTCAACATCTGTGATTCTCTGCAGCACCGCACGGCGCGCGATGGTGGAAGGAACCAGTGTAGAAAATGCCGTGAAAAGTTGTAAAACATTTTTTTATCACTTGCTTTTCTCCGAGCCCGAGAGTCAAACGACCGGAAAATACGAAATACACTTTCCCTTCTTCATCCATGCCAAAATATGTTTATCGCGCGACACCGTGAAACAAACTCCGCACTAAATTCTGTCGCAATAATTTTCCATTCTCCACCCGAGAAGCAAATGACATTCGGGAGAAATCCCACCTTAAGAAATAAATTAGTTGCGACGCAAAGAAATAAAGATCCGTGGAATTTCTCTCGCTGATAAATATATACCGTTTTGATACAATTGCGAAAGAAAGGAAATTGCCTGCGAGATTCAATCGCCATTGAGGTGAAACGTCTTTCCTCAAATTAAATGCCATCTTTTCGTGCAATTTCACCCCAAATTTTACTGGCCTAGCAAAGCTATAAAAGTCAGTCATTTGATTTAAAAACTCAGATTGACACTTGAGAGCATTATTTTTAGTGATTTTGGCTTGAGCAGCAGATTAGATAATGGCGGTTTTCTCTGACATTTTCAAATTAACACTAATTTATGGCGTGGGTTTGTTTTTGTGTCAGCCAAAAAACATGAAAGATTCCATGCTCCAATTATCTTCTTGCCAAGCTCCGCTTCCCATTAGTTCCGTGGCAAAGTTGCCAAATGTATTATCACCATTTGAATGGTCAAAGTGCTGCCGAGGGTCAAATGAAGTCGTCGATAAGGGAATCTTGCGAACTTGACACAGTGTTTCATCAAACCACATCTCCGTCAGTCACATTGAAGTTGTTCGAGAAACAATATAGTGAAAAGTTGCAAATTGTGAAAATACCTCTGTTAAAGATGAATCTAATAACATTTGTGCTTCTCTGTGGAATTATTTTCCTCACAATGGGTGAGTTTGTTGCAAATTTTCCACTCGTAAGAATGATTTTGATTAATTGCGCTGCATTTGGAAGTTTTGTTAATGCCTTCAAAAGTTGCCTTTTTCTTTCATTTGCCTCCACTGCGAGGTATGATTAAATTGTTTTCCGTGTCCATTGCAGTTGCTACAGACTGTTAATTGTGATTTTAATTGCGGCACAATCTCGCAGGTCAGTGGCAAAGGTGCACAAGAAATGCGAAAATACAATTTCCTTTGTGAAAAGTTATTAACTGTTAAATATTCTGCACACCAAGACGATAATAGGGGGAAAACTTTCTTTTGTAACTCGCACACTTCCTCTCGGGAAAACTTCACAACTCGAACGTTCAAACCCATTCACGCCTTTTCTATTGATATTTCGCAATATTTTGTGACTGAAATTGCATACACGAGCGTCTTCTAAGCAGCTGGAACTGAAACTCTTGATGTTGAGTGTCATGGCAGAAATCACATTTAATAAATGCAAAATTGAGACACGTGCGGAGATGCTTTAAGACACCAGGTGCAAGTTTCTGCAATACAGCCCGAGGTGTCAATGGAGGGAAATTCATTTCATACCTCTTTTCACTTTGCCTTACTTTTATGTGTGCTTTTTCGCAGCTCTTCTGTTCCAGTGTGTTTCTTAAGCGAGAGAAGAGCTGTGATCTGCAAGAACGTCCGCTGAAATTCACTTGAGAATTCATTTGTAGGATATTAAAGTCATCCGGGTCGAAGAACCAGAAAATGTCTGATCAATCAGAAGTTCAATTAGCTACACGTTTTGCCTATTAAATTGTTTAAAAGGACAATCAAGTGGGCGCGAGGTCAAAAAAAAGGGTTAATATGGGTGGAAAAAAAGCCGGATGATTGAAAAGCTTTTTAAAATTTTAAGCAGTGATTGAAGTTTGGGGTGATATTTGATTTAGATTTGGGCAGCACATGCCACGTGTCAATCGGACGTAATGTGAGGCCATTAGGAGGGCCACTAATGCATGTGTGAATAATCCATTAGGACGTCCGCTCAAGATTACATTCAATTTAGCCATTAATCATTGTCTCAGCACGACTTTGCTGATCAAGTCCCTCACTTTTCATCTTTAAGCACTGACTTGACTAATCATTTCTGCACAGTGATTGCTGGCTTGTGCGTTGTGGCGAACAAACAAGTGCATAGGATGAGCTTTGGGTGGGAAAAGCAATACGTATTTTCTCAATTTTCCCCCCACATGGTAAGTCTATATCCTGTCTGCACGAATTACCACTCAATTCGTGATGCTTTCAGCTCTGTGTGTGCGCTGTGTATCCAATGCTCTCGGTGCGCGCTTCCCAAACATTACATTTCGATTCGTTTGACGGTGCTGGAAGGCAATATAGAGTAATGTTTCACGGGCAATTACCCTTCACTGCGTATTACGGCGCTCCTCCTTGTGATGCCAAACAATGGCTCAATAGTTCAGCCCCTCGCGTCTCTTGCACGGCGAGCAACAACTCACTCTCTCTCTCCCTCTATTATCATCCCCCGTGGCGACAGAGGAATGAATGATGTGTAAACACAGTTCAAATATTTGTTCGTGTAGTACAATATTGAGGGTGGGCGGAGGTGAATAAAAAGCCACGTTCGCGGGCGCATTTATGCGGGTGGATACGTGATGGCGTTTTCGCCATCATCCACGCCTGGCCAGTCCACTGCGAGAGTAATTTGAGACGGATGCTGACATGTTTCTGCTCCTGACGTGTCTGCATTTAATGTCAATCCCGTAATTAACCTTTCTGTCGAGGCCCATTAGCCCAGACACACAAATGAATGCATCTCTCCAGTGCTGAAAGCTCGCCTCTTGAGCTTGAAAGGCATCTCGACGCGCCGAACTTTCTGCGAGCCTCTCAAGATGAGATGCATTATCTCTCTGTGTGTATTTCTTCGAATCGCTCTTGACATGCATATGAATTGTGCTGAACGTCGGAGGAGGAGGGCAAAAATCAGTCAAAGCTCCAAAACATTTGCTCAGCGAGGGCTCTTGGCGTTGAACTGAGCAAACAAGCTGCCCCGGGAAAAGGGGGTGGAAGATGGAGTATTCCCCGTCTTGCGAGGTTGGAGGGCGAGAGTGGATGAGGTGCAGAAAAAGCTGGCAGTCTTCCAAGTGCTTACGAGGAGTGCATTTTTACACTTTTACTGCTGGGCCATCAAGTGGAATGGATAAGCGGTGCTTTCCGGTGGCTGAAATGCTGCGATGGGCGGCCGAGGTAAAACTAATTCTGTTAATTGGCTGGGTCAACAGTGGATGAAACTAACATTTCAAGGATGTTCATACCTCTGGGGATTTGTTGACCCCGGCCAAATGGGGTCTCGCAGCTCAATAGCAAATCTGGCGCATTAATACTTCTTGATGCTTGTTAATTAAGTGAAAGGGACTTGTCGCAGTGCTGAGATGCTCGTCTTGGAATTTCCCTAAATACCTCAGCGACCTCAGCTCTGTACCGTGTGTGAGGCGCCGCATGAGGGCGGGCGGGGGATCCAATCTTTGCATTTGGGGCGCCATTGAAAAGTCCTGGACGAGGAAATGGTCCAGGACAATGGAGGGAAAAAATGCTTAAGATTAAATGGAGTGTGACAGAGCGGTTATGTGTGTAATTTGGAGGCCCTGAATTTCACTGGATGAGTGATTTCATGTGCAGAAATCATGCGAAAGTGGTATTTCATTTAATCGGAAGAAATGTCACATATTGTCAGGATGAAAACCCACCAGCATTTTCCCGGATGATCCCATCTGTGCGCCTCCTCCATCATATTCAAACTCCCTTCCTCCATGTGCTCTCGCAATTGTGCGGGGGGGTGAAAAAAGGGGTTTATTATTTATGTATCGCCACAGTACTGACAACAATAAAAGTATGGCACAAAAAGCCTCGATTTTCTGAATAAAATATTCACTCGAATGGGTATAGTTTCTCTCATTTATCTTCTAGCTCCTCCTAAAATCCTGCCCGGAATGCGAGCTTCAGCACTGACTCTGGGTATCATGTGAAAAGGGGGTGGGTTAAATATAAAATATTCAGGAGATAATTCTCTTTTACTGACCAAAATACCCGCCATATGATTTACAGACTCTAAGGTTTCTCGTCTCGCTCTCTGTGTGTGTGTGTTTTTCCTCGAGAACGCAAGGACGAGAAAGGGGACAAAAAACACTACAATTTCCATGTCGTTCATCTCATGTGGTGATAAGGATAGTATTTTTGAGGTGTAGCTTGTGAAATGCTTGTCTGCTTAAGCAGTTTAAACATTCTCAACCGTGTGCTGCATAAGCGAGAATTGAGTTATAATTCTTACAACTTATGTCAATTGCATGGTTTTCTCCAATTTCACGCTTTGCCCTTTTCTTCTGTTTACCGAGCAAATTTGTGCTTCTTGATGGCAAAAATCCTTTTCGGAATCCCATCACGAAAGTTATAATGATGAAATGGATGATATCATCCACGGTGAAAAGAATAGTGCAGCTTTAAGAGTAGTGCGAGTGAATATACTTTTCAATTTGCATAAATTTCATATTTGTACTTGTCTTTCGTCTCAAGACATAAGAGCGC